CCAGCAAGAACACTCCCTCCAGCCATTTGCCTCCCCGTCACCTGTGGTTTACAGGTAAGAGGTGCTGCACCAGGAGTCCAGGGGCAGGGCCGTTCCCCTACTGGAAGGCTCTGAGCATGAGCAAGCTCTGCAGGCCCTGTCGGGTCTGTACCTCCTGCTGCTGAAAGGACAACGTCCTTCCTGGGGTAGAGACCCTCCTCTCTTCATCCCCAGTGGTGACTTCCTCCGCCCAACTCCCCACCTTCCTGTGCCACAGCCACTGACAGTAGTTCGTCCAAGGGCATGGCACGGCCTGCCCCTGCCACACAGGTCCCGTGCCTGCAGACAACCTCCTTCTCTGACAGGCCAATGGAGTAGCAACAGTGATAACAACCATTATTGGCATCTATGGAATGTTTCCAAACTCTCGCTTAAATTACCCCATTTAATTCCCAGAGTAACTCGGTAGGTGGCGTAGGTACCCTCACTGTGCACTATGCCCTTTTACGGATGAGAAAACCGAGGCTCATTCCTTCAGCTTGGTCAGCGCTAGGGTACAAGCCCATAGGCCTGGCAGGGCTGGGGACAGCTGTGCCCCTGCAGGCCGGGCAGGGCAAGGAGGCCGCGGTGGAGCACTGCCCGGGTCCTGGGCACTGGCGCCCCGTCACGCGGTGACTGGACCATGAAAGCCAGAGTGGACCAGGCCCCGGGTGCCTGCGCAGAGGCCTGTGCACGGAGCCGCAGGCGGGAGCCTCGAGGCGGGCTGACAGGAGACGACACCGCGCCTCATTTGCTGAGCAACGTTTGTGTAATTACGCACATTTGCTGCTGGCAAGGAGGAGGAGCGGCCACAACAGCGGCTTCTGGATCGGGCCCCCCCCCAGGCTCCCCCATACTAATCACAGGGCTTGGGCCACAGGAGCTGCTTTCCTCCTGAGCCCTGCCCGTTTCTTACCTGGGACACTGAGGGCAGGGGTGAAGGCGGGCTTTGCAGCAGTCGCCTCGTCCCCTGTGGCCTGGCTGGGACCCAGTGTCCTGAGGACAAGGTGGGGCCACAGGAAGCCAGGCCAGCAGGATGCGGGGAACAGTGCTGCTGCCATGGCCGGGTGTGAACGGACCAGCCCTCCTTGGCTCCTCAAACCTCGAGCAGAAGCAAGCCCAGCGGCTGTGCAGGACATGCCCTATGGGGATGGGGACACCTCTGAGCCTGTGTCTGCACCTGCGAGCTGCAGATTTAACCCACCTCACAGGGCCACCGGAAAGCGAGGGAATAGCAGACCGGCTCCAGGGCACAAATTCCTCACGCCCTGTACTGTACGTGGTGATGCTGGGCTCACCACTGGGACTGGTGATCCCAAATGAGCTGGAGAACAACTTTCCGAGAGGTCCCCGTCCTAAGCCCTGGGACCTGGGAATGGGAGCTTCTGCGGCAAAGAGCCGTCGCAGACGTTGAATTCAGGACCGTTCTGGGTTGTCCCGTGGCCCTCAACGCAATCACAGGTGCCCTAATGAGGGAGGCAGATGGAGAAAGGACTGCAGAGGAGGATGGCCACGCGAGGACAGAAGCCGGGGAGAAAGGCAACGCGAAGAGAGGCAGGGCCTGTGAGCCAAGGAAAGGATTCTCTCCTGGAGCCGCCAGGAGGAAACGGTTCTCCCAGCACCGACTCCTCCAGTCCTCTGGCCTCCAGAGCTCCGAGACCAGATCGGCCCTGGTTAACCCACCGAGTGAGGCGCTTCCTCACAGCAGCAGCAGGAGATGCAGCGCCCTGCAGCTACCCAGGGAAGTGAAGAACCGCCGGGCCAGTGAGGGACAAGACCGTTTGTGCAGGCCACTGGCCGGGCTGGCCTTCTGCGACCTGCCATCGTCACCTACTTCTCCAGGTGCTCTGCCCACACGCTGCGCCTCCCTGCCTAGGAAGGGGGCAGGCCCAGAGGGCGGATGTGGCCCATGTCCAGCCCAGAGCTGGTGAGGGCGAAGCCTGGAGAAGATGCAGGGTGACCTCCTGCCACAGCTCCACTCGCACAGGGAGGGACAGCACTAGGACCCCCATTCAGCGACCAGGTCCTGCCTGCACAGTGTCTCAAACCTGCACCTGCAGCAGGCATGGCACATGCAGACCGTGGCCCTGCCCGGAGCTGACTCCGCAGGTCCGGGCCTGGGCACCTGCATTCCTAACAGGCAGGGGCAGTGCCCTCACCAAGGGTGGTCTGTGCTCTTTGGATTCGGTGGAACCTGCTCAGGGGTCCTGGAGTCACACATGTGCTCCCGAGAGAGGCCAGTGTGTGCAGCCGAGGGGCAGGGCTCAGGGGCGGGAATGGGATTTCTAACTCCCCACCCCTATGTGGGTGACCCTCATGCCAGCTACTTATCCTCTCTGTGCAGCCTCAGTTCCTGCACCTGTAAAGCGGGTGACACGAAATGCGCTCTCATCAGGCTGCTGAGAGGAGTGAGATGAAACAGGAAGTGTTTAACAGCCATAGGTCAGAGTTAATCCGAGAAATCGCATTCGCCATTGGGGGGACTTCTCCTATCAGCTTGGGGAGATGTGAGCCGGGATGTTCCCCTGCAGTGAGGGGCCTGCTGGTGCCCCTCCAGGAGCTCTCCTCACTGAGCACGCCTACAACTAGCCCCGGGACCCCGGCAGGGAAGCACTTCCTGCAGACCTGCTGTGCCCAGGACCCGTGTCACCGAACCAGCCAAACATGTCTCAAGAGCAGAAAATCAGCAACTCCAACAACCCTCCTAGAAGGGACTCAGCTCCCTTAACACGCTTAGGTTCGCAGATGCCACCAACTGAGCAATTTCCGGGGGAGCCACTTGCTCCAAATGTACGCATCTCCCCGAAGATGCTGGAACTGGCCTCAGTCCCCGGCAGCAGCCGAGGCCTGCAAGGTGGGTGGGCTGTGGTGGGCGCATGGCTGCAGCAGCAGGTCCTGCCTCGTCACGAGAACCAGCCACATGCGCCGAAACGTGTCGGAAGACAGGGAGACAATGTCCACATCTGGGACAATGGGAACAACATGCTAAACAGTGATAACCAGAGACTATAACTCACAGACCATCACAAATATCAGTGCATTTATTTGGAAAAGAGAAATGGGGAGAAGGCACAGCTAGCTGTTCCTCACAGGAGCATGCTAGCAGATAAATGTGGGAGGAGTGACGTGCACTGAAAGGCGGCACTTGGCAAAGACGGGTAACGCCTGTTTCCGGCAAGAGCCGCCATGGAGGTTGCAGTTTGGGGTGCCAATGTGAGGAGGAGGAGGGTATGCACACATTACCAACGTGACTGCTTCGTCATTACAGAGCGGCCAACCTCAAACTGGGGAAACGCACCTGAACTGAGCGATCACAACTCATCCAGGGTGAGACGTATCCCCTCGGCGTGCCCCGGCAGGAAAGGCACAGCATCGCTTTTCTCATTATTCCCCAAAACATAAAGTCTGAGTTTAATCTGAGGCAACATCAGACAAGCCCAGGAGGACGTTTCCTGCAGTAACTGGGCTGCCCCCTGCAAACATGCCACGGTCATGAAGAGAGACTGAGCGACCGTCCCAGATTAAAGGTGCTGATAGAGATAAGACAACTAAATGCAAAAGCTGGGTCCCAAACCAGGGAAAAAAGACATGAGCAGGCACCTGGCCAGACCTGGGCAAGACCCACAAGTTGGTTCCTAGCACATTTGAGGAAGTGGTGAAGGGTATTATGGAAACCTTTGTACTATTTTTCCAACTGTTTTTATATGTCTGAAATTATTCCAAAGTAAAATACATTTTTAAAAAGAAAATAAAAACCCCAGGTTTGATGTGCTGCGGGGAGGAACGGAAATGCGTGCCCAGAACAGGAGTCACCTGAGGTCGGGTCCCCTCTCAGTGTCCTGCCCCCAACCAGGCAGAGTGCGTGCTTTGAAGGTAGTGAGTGCTCAGCAAGTGCTCACTGCCTCCACTCGGTCGGGAGCCGGGAGAGCAGTGGGTGGGATGCATGGAGGGCTGTGCACTCAGCACACAGTGATGGTGCGACCTACTGTGCGCCAGCCACTGGCAGAGCCTGCTGGGAGGCAGGTGTGAACCCACGGCGCGGTAGTGCGGTGGAATCCAGGGAAGGGTCCCACGCGGTGTGCGGATCCCAGTGCCCCCGGAGGAGGTGCTCCTCGGCTGAGGCTTAGAGGATCTGCGGAGACGCCAGGAGGAGGCCGGGGCCAGTGGGAATCGTGCGCCATTCTGGGCAGGCTGGGCAGCTGGAGCCTAGACACAGGAACATGCGGCAGGGGTGTGAGTGCTGGAACCACAAACAGCACGTGGGCAGGTGAGGTGGCTGGGTCAAGAGGGGCCACAGGGCAGCTGGTCCTGTGCAGTAGGCCCCTCCGGGCAGGTGTGGGAGCAGCAGGTATGCTGGGGGGCGGGGAAGACCGTGGCCTCTCTTCTGAAAGCAGACACGGGGGTAGCATGGGCATGGCTCATCAGGTAATAAAGACCAAGAAAAGTGACATCGGCTACAGGCCTCAAGGGGTGTGGTGGGACAGCACTGGCGTCTCCCTACCTGCGGTCTCAAAGCAGGAGCATGAAGAGGCCCCGAAGTCTGACTCTGAGCTTGTCCTTATAAGCAGGGTGACCCCGGAACTCAGTGTCCAAGTCGGGACACTTCAGAGAGCAAAAGGGGTGCGATGAATTTTTATGCCTGGACAACATGTAAGGAAGGTCAGCATACCTCTATGGGACCTTTGGCCTGAAGGGGCTCCCACTGCCGGGGTACAGAGCCCCAGGTGCGTATGGACCCGCCAGGAGAGTCGGCAGCCTTGGAAGTGGTGAGGTGGAAACCAGAGGGAGCTGGGTGTCCACATCCCACCCACACAGCCACTCGGGGTCCTGCTCAGTGCACCCATGAGTGGCAAAGGTGACGATGCAGATCAGGAACTCCGAAAAGAAAGACGGAGGCAGGAGAGGCGGCCGGGGCTGGCAGCCTGGCTTCCCCGGTGCGGGGAGGCTGCACGCCAAGGCGGCGGGCCGAGGGCAGAACTTACCCGTGCACGCCGTGGGCAGAGTGAGGCTCGTAATGGTACCTTCCCTCCTGGTGTCTCATGTCAATCGGTAAGGGAGCATGGAACGGTGGCAAAAGGTGCTGCGGCACTGTACAGGGGGAGAGAGACAGGACTTCAAAACCTTGCCCCTCCCTGGAGAAGCCATTTTCAAAGGGCTTTAAAGCTCAATGAATTTCAGAGCAAAAGCAGTCAGGACGGGGGGCTCCGGGGTGCCCAGCTATCACACACCCACGAAGGGGGATGAATAAATAATCAAAGTCAGCCGGGGAACCTACATCACTCACATAAAAGATCCCCAACCGCGCTCTTGACAAAGACAAGCAGCTAAGCGCTCTTTGAACTCGGGGAGATTACAGGCTGGGCCGCAAATCAGGGCTGACGGAGCCGACAGGCTTCTGCCCATCCCGGCCTTGGCTGTGTGGCTCCAGGAGCCCTGGGTGACAGCACCCACGCCAGCCACGGTCACCCGGAGCTCTGTGAAGCCAGGGCCCGCTCCGCTGCAGCCAGCAGACACCTATGCGGGCATGTTAATTCCCCAGCTCTTGCCATTAATTACTGACCCTAAGCGCGCTGGCGGGGCCTCCGAGCTGTAAATGCCAACGCGTGAGCATCAGTCTCCAGAGGTGAGTCAGCCCCTGTCTGCACTTGGCCTGCCCTCAGCAAATCATCATGGTAATTGTAGGATGCTCTTTGCTTATTAAGAAAAAATTCCTGGGTACCCTGGAGGCAAACGTAATTATAGGTGCCAGGAAAACAAGCCTCTTTAAAAAGTAGTTAGACTGGAGAAAGGGCTAAGGCGTGGAGACTTCTCCGCGGACTCACTCACGCGGAAGGCCTGGCCAGTGGGAGTCAGCGGTGAGGCTGACCTGCTGGCTGGCTTTGAGCCGCGGCCGTTTGTCTTCCACGCACGCGGGGCAGCAGCCCGCCGGGCCTGCCCTAATAAAGGCGCACAGACACTGCTGCTCACGTGCAGACTCTGGGACTGCTCTGTAAACACTGCCCTCTCTGATTTTACTGTGGTAAAATACATACAACAGGACACTTACCATTTTAACCATGCCTGAGTGCACAGCACAGGTAAGCACGTTCACATTTCTGTGCAACCACCACCACCACCCATCAGGGGACTTTCCATCTTCCCCAGCTGAATCCCGGGGCCCCTCACACAACCCCCATCTCCCCACCCTGGCCAGGCGACCACCTTCCTAGCTTCTGTCTCTATGAATGCGGCTACTCCAGGCCCCTCTACAGTACTTGTGCCCTCGTGCCCGGTGTATCTCACGAAGCGTCATGTCCTCAGTGCTCATCCATCGTACCCTGTGTCCGAAGGGGAGGCCACGTCTGGCCATCCATTCATCCCTCGAGGGACACTTGGTTTGAATGCTCTGAACTCTTAACAAGAGTTAAAACTTTTCTCCTGACATTTTAAGCTTAATTTTTACATATTCAATTTTATCTTCGTAATTCCACAATACTGGCATCTTCCATGGGGACTTGGGACAAAGAAAACCAATTTCTCACCCTGATTAAATCAATCTCCCAGACTCCAGAAATCTTGGGCTCACAGGGGAACTGGCCTCTAATAACAGAGGCCAGAGCCTCCTGCTTCCACACGGGGACACATTGGGCTTCGGGAACCCTCGGGGAGCCCAGCAGGGAAGCAGTGCCACCTCCACAGAGGTGCCAGAGGTGCAGGAAAGGGCCTGTATGGTTTCTTCAATGCGGCCAGGCAGACCGAACCACAGCACTGTTAACAAATGTTTCCCTGCATTTCCAAAAGCCCCCCGGGGCAGCCAGGGTGGGTGTTATTGCACCCATTTCACAGATGAGAAAATGGAGGCCAAGGGTGATTTCAGCTCAGTCACGGGGCTGAAAGATGGCAGAGCCAGGAGAGTCCAGGGCCCTGGACAGCTGGTCATAGCTCTTCCCTCTGCCCAGCATTAATGAACACTCAGAGGCAGCCCTGATGCAAGGGGAGTGCCTGGGCCTCCTGTCCCCGCCTTGCTCACCCACTGTATTTAGCAAATGCATACAGTATCGGGCCTGTTCTAAGCGCTTTGTGAGTATCAACTCCTAGGTCTTCACAGCAACCTCAAGCTGCACTCACCCCAGAATTCCTGGTGTCCCGCTCTCCACCCCCAGCACCTGTGTGTCCTTTTCAACCCAGAGTTCCACCGACAGGGTTGAAGGGGGTCCCTTAATGCAATATCAGATTCCCCCAGCCCACCCCGACCAGGCCCCACCTAAGCAGCTGTGAGCAGGGATGTGTCAAGATTAATGCAGCTTGTTCAGGTCTAAAGAGCTCCAGCCGCCACAGGGATGACGTGCGTGTGCTAGTTTCCCAGGCAAACGTGAACTGGAGTGGCGCCCAGGCTGACCTGCCGCTCCACCAAACCAGGCTGTGCATGTGCCTGCGTGTATGTGTGTGCGCCTGTGTGTATGTGCCTGTGCGTGTGTACCTGTGAGTGTGTGCATGTGAGCGTGTGCCTTGTGTATGTGCCTGTGTGCCTGTGTGCCTGTGTGTGTGCCAGTGTGTATGTGTATGTGTGCCTGTGTGCATGTGCCAGTGTGTATGTGCGTGTGCCCGAGTGCATGTGCATGTGTGCCTGTGTGTTTGTCCCTGTGTGTATGTGCGTGTGTGCCTCTGTGTATGTGCCTGTGTGTGTATGTGTGTGTGTGCCTGTGTGTATGTGCCTGTGTGCCTGTGTGTATGTGTGTGTGCCAGTGTATATGTGCCTGTGTGCCCGTGTGTGTGTGCCTGTGTGCCTGTGTGCCTGTGTGTATGTGCCTGTGTGCCTGTGTGTATGTGTATGTGCCTGTGTGCCTGTGTGTGTGCCAGTGTGTATGTGTATGTGTGCCTGTGTGCCTGTGCCAGTGTGTATGTGCGTGTGCCTGTGTGTATGTGCGTGTGTGCCTGTGTGTGTGCCTGTGTGCATGTGCGTGTGTGCCTGTGTGTTTGTCCCTGTGTGTATGTGCGTGTGTGCCTCTGTGTATGTGCCTGTGTGTATGTGCGTGTGTGCCTGGTGTACGTGCGTGTGTGCCTGTGTGTATGTGCCTGTGTGTATGTGCACGTGTGCCTGTGTGTGTATGTGCCTGTGTGCCTGTGTGTGTCCCTGTGTGTATGTGTGTGTGCCTGTGTGCCTGTGTGTATGTGCCTGTGTATATGTGCCTGTGTGTGTTGGGGAGGAGGAGCCTGGGCTTCTGGGAGGAGGCGTGAGGGACAGCCATCCAGAGTCCCGCCTCAGTCGGGGCTGCTCCCTCTTTTTGGCCGGTCCCTGGGGTAACAGCTGTGGAGGTGACATGGGAAGCGGCTTTCTCTTTCTCGAGTCAGAGGGGCAGGGCAGGGCCTGGGCACCTCTGCTGCCCTCCAAGCAGCTGACGCCCATGGGATGAGCAGGCAGCAGGGGCTCTGGCCACAGCCCTTTGCCCTCTTGTTACCACTTGGCGTCCTCAGAAGGAGCCTGGGAACACGTGTTAGCGGTTCACCCATTCAGGCATTGATGTGTTAGGTCAGTCGGCAGCTTAGGTGTGGCCCAGTGCCCACCGGGTCAGGCAGGGGAAGTGCCACAGGCACTCATCTCAGTGAAGCCCGCGGCCTCCTGGGCCTTTGCTAAGGCACCAAGGATCCTTTTCTTGCCAGGAAGCACATGGAGAGCAACGGCCAGGTAGCTCGTGGCTCCACCGGCTCCCCCCATGGAGCCCTAGGTGCTGCCAGCAGCCAGCACCCAGGAGGCCCTCAGCAGCAGGGTCTCCGAGGACTCACATCCACTCGTAGCCCCTGGGGTGGCCCCAGGGCGGATGGACGTGGGCCTGCCCACCTTCAGAGGGACCAGTCCGTTCACAGCAGGAGGCTAAGCCTGGCAGCAGGCAGGTAGCAGTAACCACTCATCCCTTCCTTCCTTAGCTCACTCCTTTATCCACTCATTCACCTGCCTGGTATCTGGGCATGCTCTGAGCAGGCAATGCTCTAGGGCCCTGGAGCAGTGCAGTGACGGCAGCCGCGGTGCCACCTTCACAGAGCCGTGCAGCTCTCCCGAGGACACAAGCCGTGAACAAACTAGCAAATATATTTACACCATAATGTCAGGGATGGCGAAGCTCAGAGGAAACGGGCTGGGCATGGGGCAGAGAGGGGGTGGGATGTGGGCGGGAGTAAGGGCTCCCGCAGGACAGGTGCACCAGGCGGGGGGATGGCAAGTGCAAAGGGAAGACTCAGGATGTCGGCGCCAGGAGCAGAGGGTGGAGGTGAGAGAGACAGGGAAGAAGGTCCCATAAGCCTGGTCGTGTTGTGGGAAGGACTCAGATTATTTTGGATGCAAGGGTGGGGTGAGGGGAGAAGGGTTCTGAGCAGGAGCAGGCCAGGTGGTGTGGGGCTGGCATGCGCCTTGGCCAGGAATCCCAGATGGGCCCTGCCACTAGTGACCATGGGACTTGGGAGAAATTATGTCCCCTTTTCTGAGTCTCCCATTAGCCATCTGCACAATGAGGATTGGGTGAGCTCTAATTTCCTTCTTACCAGACAGTCCTGCTATTTGTGAGCGGTCACCACGCCTCCGGGAAAGGGCCACACCTGTCTCAGCCAGGGACACACCAAGGCGTCCCGAGGGACCTGAACAGGCCACGGGAGGGACCCGAGCAGCCACGGGAGGGACCCTGAGCAGACTATGGGAAGGACCCTGAGCAGGCCACGGGAGGGACCCTGAGCAGGCCACGGGAGGGACCCGAGCAGCCACGGGAGGGACCCTGAGCAGACTGTGGGAGGGACCCTGAGCAGGCTGCGGAAGGGACCTCGAGCAGGCCACGGGAGGGACCCTGAGCAGGCCACAGAGGGACCCTGAGCAGGCGCAGAGGGACCCTGAGCAGACTGTGGGAGGGACCCTGAGCAGGCCACAGAGGGACCCTGAGCAGGCCACGGGAGGGACCCTGAGCAGACTGTGGGAGGGACCCTGAGCAGGCTGCGGGAGGGACCCTGAGCAGGCCACAGAGGGACCCTGAGCAGGCGCAGAGGGACCCTGAGCAGACTGTGGGAGGGACCCTGAGCAGGCCACAGAGGGACCCTGAGCAGGCCACGGGAGGGACCCTGAGCAG